CGAGAGGGCGTGAAGAGATCGAATTTGTCGTGCGAGGTGGTTGCCTGCATATGTCGGGGGGCGAAGCAGATGGGGTGGTGTCGAAGAGGGGATGCGCGGATGTCGTAGACGTCGAGATCAGCTTTGGCGGATGTATATGGCAAGAGAAGGAATCAATAGAATTGGCGATCAACGCAAGTGGGTGTCGATAGCATGTAGAGCTGTCAGTGGAGTGCGTCAGATGCGATTTAAAGTACCCTCGCGGTGGGCTCCAAATGACATGCTTTCTCACAACAGTGAGAAAAGACAGGAAAATGCCAGAGTCCTTCAAAGGGCTCCAACAGCAACTAGAGCTAACAGCTCAAGAGAAAGAGAAGGAAGAGAATATGATAATCAAATGCTACTCTACTACATGCCTTTTATACTAAAGCATACAGGAGAGAACTGAATGAAAGGAACAGGAACTAGGAACGAGTCCGGAAAGGCGGGACCGACGGATCAATGCTGACTAAGCAACACTGATGAGCCTCGGAGGCTCGTCAGCGGGAGTCTGGACTCCGCGCAGTCGAAGGCTCTTGTAGTTGAAAAGACGTCGCGGCACTGCGGTATACACACTGGCAGCCGCACTAGTACTCGACGGCGGCGGGCGCGGGCGCGAACTCCGCAGCGTTGACTCGAGCAGACCATCGAGGTTGACGAGAGGGACAGTGTCAGGGAGACAAAGGGCTGACGAGCCGCGAGTCGGGCCAGGTGTGTCTATCGTGGCCTTGCTTACTTACTTTGCGCTATTCAATGATCATGATGCACCGCCGCGCTTCTTTTTCCCAGTCACGGTCTTTTGCTTCTCTCTTCCCACCTCCCTCTCGCGAGTCACACTCCTCTCGCTCACAACTAGCAAGGGCGGGTCACCACTGGTGGTAGCTCTGGTGGTGCATACCTCATCCGCCGCCCCTCCCTCAATACCCGGAGCCCGAGGAGACGGCGAAAAGCGGGCCGCTGCGGGCGGGAGAGTTCCACATTCACAGAGCTCTTGCAGAGCTCAGTGAAGGGCGGCCTGGCTGGTGGGAGTCGTATATATGTATTATGTCAGTCTGACACCTATCCGCGGTCGTTGGCAACCGTGACGGGTGATCGGCGATTCACCGGGGAAGATCGCGTAAGTGTAACGCGCCACCGCGCCACGCGAGTACATATATAAGTAGACCGTGCTGCAGCTTTCGTCCTTGTTTCCTCCCTCCTACCGGTTGGATGAACGCTGAGCAGCCACATCGTGTCGACGAGCTCTGGTTTCCCGACGGCAACATCGTGCTGCATAGGGCTTGGTTTATATAGGGGTGTTTGTAAACTGGTTTATAAACACCCCTGTTTTATATGTTTATAAACAGCCTGGCTGGAAACCCCCTGTTTTATGGTTTTATATTAGTAAGCACATCAAAAGGAAAAAAGCTAGCAAACCAGACTTACTTGACACCAATATTGCTTCCATATACTGCTAGTAGGCTTGATCATACCTTATAGGTCTATTATGATATATTGCCTCTTATCAAGTAGGATCTGAACCTACTTTTGGCTGATATTATCATATCGATCATGATTAATACTAGTATTAGAAGTTTGGCTGTGTGACTATACTATACTAACCATATAGATTTAATTATTATCAAGGTCATTATAATTTTTCAGTGGTATAAAGAATCCATAACAGGGCATCCAAGATCTGCTGATAAGATAACTTCAAATAAATTGTATATGATATATATATATAATTTAGCCATGTTATGCCAACTTACAAGTGATAGTTGATATATCCTGGCTGTTTCAACCCTACTGTCTATGAATCTTAAAATCATGAAGTTAAAACACCAAAATTTGCTGCAAAATTTCCCAAAAAGGCAATTTTGATCTCTCCCGTCATATCAGCTCAGTTGGTTTATAAAACCTAAAAACCGGTTTATAAACAGGGTTTCAGAGGCTATTTTTATCAAACCGTTTGATAACCCCCAAAATCTTTACAAACCAAGCCCTAGTGCTGCAGGCGGGGAACGCACAATACAAGGTGTATCGGGGCGTGCTCGCGGGCAGCCTGAGTGCCGAGTTTTGGCGGAACATGTTCCGCGACGCCCAAGCCGACCCTGAGCCTGAGGCTGTGCTTGACGGCTGTCCGCTCGTCCACTTCCTTGAGCCCGAGGCGGAGGCCACACTGTTTCTGAGTGCCATCTTTCTCGCGGCGTACGTCATGCTTCCATGACACCGTTCCGCTGATGCGTCGGATAGCGCCCTGGAGCCGTTTCCCGCAAAGACGACCCTCCCTATGCTCATTGCCTGCGGCAGACTGAGCCACAAATACGGTGCCGACACCATCCACCGCCGGGTTTTGACACACTTGACGTCAAACCTGCGCACGACGCTGGACGAATGGCTCTTGAGCGCCTACGCGTCGGTATGATCCAGTGTTCGCCCTAACCCCCTTAATAAGGGTCAGTCCCGCTGGCTAAGGGTTATTTAAGGTTAAGGCACTTATTAAGCCCCCACCCTTAACACCCTTAGATATATTTTTTGCACCAAAAATGGAATTAATATATATAAAAAAACAATGCCACTATTTAGAACGCGCGGTAGGCTGGTACTCCTCTGAGTCGGAGATCTCGACCGCCCCATCGTCTGGCTGCTCTTCATCATCTATCGCATAGAGACGAAGGAGGTCCATCCGCTCCTGTTCCGCTGCCACCTGTTCAGCATTCAGATGGTTTTGACGGCGCACCATCTCCTGCGTGCTCTCACAGCCAAACAGCCGCTTGAGTGTCATGGCCTTTGGTTTCGGAGCAGGCAGACGAGTCCGCACACGTGGCAGAGGCAGCTCGTCCTCTGACTCGTCCGACCCCGCTTCTGCAATCGCAGCATCCTCTTCCCGACGCTGCCCTGTCCACCGAGCAAAGTCGGTCCGCCAGCCCTCTCGTCCCTCAACAAGCATCCGACCCCGCTCAGACTCGTCCTCATCATCCTGGTCGGCCAGCAGGTCTGCATAGCGCGGTACCTCGAGGAGCTTCTTGACGTTCCCATGGTTATTGCGGGCTTTTCGTGGCTGGACCAGTCCTGCCTGTTGGTGTTCGGCCTTGATTGCAGATCGAACCTGTGCCCGAGCAAGATGGATCAGAGACCTATACAGAGGAAAAAGCCACTACCTTCGTTATTTTTCCGAAGTTTCTCCAGCCCCAGTCGTGAGCGGCGATCCGATTGGATGAATTTGGCACTCGAGAACGCCCGTTCAACGCCTGCCTGATTCACGACAACCTTGAACAGTGTTTTGACGAAAGCAACTAGCTCCCGTAGCTCTTCGTAAGCGCCATAGTTGTCCCAGATGTCCTCCACAGTCTCCTGTGACTGAGTGAGACCTCGGAGAGCTACGACAAATCGACTCACGCACCCAGATTAACTCAAAGTCTTTCATGTCACTGACAAGTGTCTCGAAACGACCACTAAGCGCGAGGTACTGCATAAATCCACGAGCAACTTGTCGCTCCTTTTGATTCCTAACCTCGTCCGTATCATTGTTTGACGGATGCTCTGACATGCGGCGATACATCTAGAGAATGTTAGCAGCAGCAGAAGCAGGTCAAACAGACGCACCCAGGTCATCAGCTTGACAAGGTCAGCAGCGGAGAGATTGGCGTTGGGTCCGAATGCAGACAGGCGCTCCCAAGGGTTTGTGACAAGGCAGAGGATAAACAGTGGCTGGTCGCAGGCTTTCCAACGGCGCTCGAGTCTCTCCAACATCTTCTCGGCCACCTCCGGCTCGGGGTGGTCAAGGAAGTGGTGATAAATCCCGATCAGGGTGACCAAGACCTGGTCGGCGCACGTCGAGTCCTTCTGGTTGATGTTTGTGCCATAGCAGATGGGCTCAATGTCACCCAGAACCTGCTCAAGCGCGTTCCAGAACTGGCTGCTGTCGATCTTGTTGCACATCGACTCTGCCTCCGCACGCAGGTTAGCCGCCACCGTTGATTTTGCTGCCCCGACTTGCGCTTCGATGATATTATCGCGCGACTTGAGCGATGCGAGCCGGAGAGGTTGCTTAATCGAGTTGGTGCGGGCCATCGAGAGGTAGTGTGTCGTCCAGCGCGTCATGTTCGCGGGGATGTAAGCGAGAGCCTTGCCATTGGTCTCCTCCTGCGACGCGTCGAAGATTTTACGGACCTTGCCATGGTTATTAAGCCAGCTGATGAGCGCCGCTGCTTCCTCGGCCGTCTCGTTTGCCAGGGCATAAACGGCGAAGTAATCTCCAAGGATAAGCTGAAACTGTCCTATCATAAGTCCAAGAACAGAGAAAATGAGCGCTTGCCACGCACCTGGTGTGCCCAGCATGATGGGACAAGCAGCCAGCGTCGCGCCTTCCCGAGCATCTTCCGCCCCGCCAGTGAACCCCCATCGGCGTCGGTGCAGAAGGCCAGCACACGGACATTCTTCTTCGCCTCGAGCGCATCGATTTTCCGACCGAGGAGCTCACATAATGACGCCCCGTCCTTCTTCTCTGCCGTGACTTCCTCCAGTTCAAGTAAGTAGCTCTAGAGAAACGGTAAGATGAGCGACAGCGGAGGAGGGAAAGCACGCACTTTGTGATCGACATTGGCATTCATGCCGTTCAGCGAGTTTTTCGTCCGGTCCTTCCACCCATCGATCATCAGGAAAAAAGTGGATCAATTGTAAGTGCTGTTAAATCAGATAATCATGATCTAGCTTGGTAAGCACTTATAGAGTACCACAAGTGCTTATAGTGCACTCCCCAGACTTTTAGTGACTTATATACCTTCTAAAAGCACTTTAGCTAGGTTATAATATACTCCTAATCATTTTGGAGAGAATATAACTGCAATATCATTCTTTTAATATATCTACAATTGAAATATCATCCTTTTTCTATACTTGTAAGTGTCTAACTTGAATATATATTATTTACAAAGGGTTGCAAGCCTACTGAAAAAACTTGTGATATGTCTGCAGATGATTCCATATTTTGATTTAAATTAAAGTGAAATATCATAGTTATCTGCAGCCTGTGCATCCCCAATGTCCTCCCCATCCTCAGGCCCTAAATCAGGCTCACCAGAGTCAGAGTCAGAGTCAGACTCACTGTCCCACTCTGAGTCTCTGTCAGAACCAGACTGTGCAGCCAAATCCTCCTCCTCCTCCTCCTCTTCAAGGTCTGAGTTGTCCAGCTCTGGTTCCAAGGGCTCATCCTGCCCCAGGACAGACCCCTCTGACTCAGTGTCAGTCAGAATCTCATTAACCTCACCATCAGACCACTCCTCAATCTCCATTTCAGCAGCATCTGGCTCAGGATCTGGAACAAAGACCTGATAGGAATGGCCCACGCCACCACCATAATAGCGCATCAGCATGTCGCGATCAACAAAGCTATTGATGGGATCAGACCATAGTTGCCTAATTTGGTAATAACTCACAAGTTCACATAGTGGTAGAGCCAGTCTTGTCGACCATTAGGCCGGCCAAGTGATGGGATGTCGGAGTTGTCGATGAGCCCGCGCGCGAAGGCAGGGATAAGATGGGCTTCACGGATGACCTCGTCAGGGTTGACAAAAGCATATGCGGTATCGTCAAGCTCGGGAACAAACTCGAGGCGGTGAAGTCGTCGTCGTTTAAAACCACCGCGCCAAGATTTGTCTAGCCGGAAGCGGCGGACCCAGAGAAAGGTGACAGGAACAGCAGCTGAGACATAGCCACGGAGTTTGTGTTGAACGTCACAATGGAAGATGCCAATGACACGGGAGTACTCGAAAGGGTGGTCATCACTGGTGTCCTCGGGCGATAGCGTCATAATATCAGCGTGGGTTCGTGAGTTCATAGAATCTTGTCCTCGACGCACATCGTAAGTCGTAAAGTTGACTCGGAGAATCTTGTGAATATAGATGCGGTTGTTGACAATGAACAGGTTGTTGCGGTCATTGGCGGAATATTTGGATCCATCGCTTGAGTAGTCTGGATGCAGTATACGTGCCAGGAGATGATTTTTAAGGTCGCGTCGGAAGTTCTGTAAAGTTAGATCAGTAAGATCAAAGTGTTCCTGAGAACTGACCTTAATGGCTGGGTCACCAGTATTTTCATCCAGCCAGTTATCCAGAGTGAAATAAAAGTTACGACTTTGGGAAATATGATGAGGGAAATCGGGTGGCGTATACGGAAGAGATTCAGAGTCAGCAAAGCTCAGAGTAGTGCCAGTTGATTTGGCTCGCGCCTTGGCTGTGCCTCGTTTGCGCTTGGATGAAGTGTCAAGAGTTGCGATTGGAGGGGCAGCAGCAGCAGCCTGGACCTTGGTTTGAATGCGTAGTAGCTCAGCCTCACGACGCTCGAGATTAGAGATCTGAGTAACAGCACCATTCTTGCTGGTCCGGCTGTAAAAACCCTTGCCTCGCTTGTGTTCGAGTTCCCCCTGAAGTAGAGTCAGGTCAAGTATTAGAAACTGGTTAAACACGTACTGGTGCGGTCGAATATGAGTCAGTCGTTCCAAAGAAGGGGATTTCCACTGGGTAGTAACCAATCAGGTGCATTTTGACAGTCGTGAGGTTAAATGCTTTGAACTGTGGGCTGGAATCAACGGTTGATGTCGGGGCCTTCCGTGCAGCCTTCTTGCGGCGGGCAGCCTCCTCCCGAGGAAGCTCCTTTGTGACAAAGTGTTCGCAGGTCGATTTCGCGAAACGGCGGAGTTGATAGCCCAAGTCCTTTGTTGCCTCTCGGAGTCGCTCCAGTGTCGCATCCGTATGCATACGAAGCTTGGCTAGCGCATGAAAGTATGCCATACTGAACAACAGGTCTTGGATGACATCATTGTCACCATAGACATCATCGTCCAACAGGCCTTCAAATACAGGCATGGCACACTGGTAGTGATCAGCCACTAGAAGCATGGCCTAAGAGTAACGCACCTGCAATAAGTCCTCGTAGTCCCGGGCAGCAAGACGTTTCATTGCGGATGTGTTGTTCGTAAACCGCCAAATTGTGTCTCGACCAAAGGCTGGCATCTGTCGATAGCGCCAGTTGAGGCTAGTGATAGCGTCACCAGCGTTGGCAACTAAGATGCGGATCAGATGGACAAAGGTCATTTTCCAGACACCCAGCTCCAGCTCATGCATAAGATCAGGAGCTAGCATCTGGAAGATGTCCCACGTGAAGGTGGACACGTTACTGAAAGCATTCTGGAAAGCGGCTAAGTAACATGCCAGATATCAGAAGGCAGCATACCATGACGGGAACGTAGGATTCCGGTCCCAGGATGCGCTTGACAGCAGCTCCATACGGGGCCAGGTTCTTGTCGTATACCTTAGCCCGGGCACGTCGAACAAGGCCACGATGGCGATGGTCATCAACACGGTGGAGTTTGGCTCGTCGTTTATTGTCGTTGACAGTGCCCAGTTGATTGAATTGGTCAGCCGTCAGAAGACATCGTGGGCAGGGACAGCGGCTCAGACTGCGTATTGTGGCCAGAAGAACCCTGTCAGTCATCAGTTAGGCTCACTCGTTTGTTGATCTCATACTTCTCGGGATAGTCGGCTGAGTATGTGAAGACGCGGGAAGTAGAAGCGCCGCCAGATATTGTCAGGACAGAGAATTTCAATCCCATGCTCGCACGCCTCCATGAACTTGTCGTCGAGGATAAGCCGCCATATGGTGTGGAAAGGTTCCCGCCGACAGTGCGTAAGCATCTCCGAAGTTGGCGCTTCACCCGTTGTTGTCTTGAACCAGTCGAAGAAGTCATCAGCAAGCTGAAGCCGAAATTAGCAGTAACACGACGATGGGAAGCGAACACACCTTTGGCATATAAGCAATGTGATGGCAAGCTCGTGCTCGTGGTTTCCCCCGCACCCACTTTGACTGATTACCAAAGAACAGGTAAATCGGCCAGAGTGCTGCCGTCCCAAAGTTGGCGAGCTGCGTTGAGTCGGACCAGAACATCAGAGCCACTATACAGCGCTCCAATGTGCAGCCTGGCTCCCGTGGGCTACGCTGCAGCTCCTCGTAAGTGCGGATATAGGCATCGGATGAATAGATTTCGTCATAGACGCGCTGCGTTGGCCCATCGGTAACCGGCTGCCACCATTGGCGAAAGGGCGTGTAGTGGAAGAAGCGGGAGCTGGAATCGCTTAGAACAGTCTTCACCGTCTCGGTCAGGCTGCGCAAGCGGAGCCCTTCGATCGTGTACTTGAGCGGACCCTTCATCCCTTTTCGTGGGTCGGGAACGTCTATTTCGACACTCGCAGATTGCCATCCATCCTTGACCTCGCTTTCAGTTCCCCCCGAATCTATCCCTTCCCCCCGGAGATAGTTGTCGAATCGTTTGGTTTGAGCTTTAATGTCGAATGACATAAGATCAGCAACATTGAAGAGCGGGGACTTGAGATAGTCCAGCAAACGCGCACATTCTCCAATGCTCTTCATCGCTGAGCCTGTCCACATCCAGTTCATGAGACCCCAGACTGTGAAGTTGCCAAAAGGCCCATACGATGCTGATTGGCCCACAGCCGCTAAAGCATCTGCAGGCGCGGCCAGCGGTGACAGTCGAGAGTCTCCTGTGGCTGGAAAGGACTCCACGGAGGCGGTCGGGACATCAGATTGATCAGCGAGTGAGGTATTGCCGTCAGGGTTATGAGAGGGAGTGCATGGGTACTCGCGGAAAAGACCAAAGCCATTTCGTGATGTGTTTCTAGCCTCCCACTGAAATGGCACCGACTGATCAGGCTCCTCGAGCTCGTCATCTCGATCGGGCGGAGGTGGCGGAGGTTCGGGCAACTGCGCAAGAATTTTCCATGTTGGGCGTCGATTTCGTACGGGTCGCAAAGGAGATGGTGGAGGGAGTGGAGGATCTGACTCTGGCTCAAGATGTGTTTGTGGGTGGGCCATATCGGTGTCATCAGGTTCCGACATCACAGCAGTGTTGTCGTCGAAGGTTGCAAGAGAGTCAGAGGTAGCAGCGTAGGGGCCACTAGCAGTTGAAGACTATAAATTGATTATAAGCTACTGCGGTCATGTACAACAAGACAGACCAACCTGAGCAACAAGAATCTCCGCATCTCCTATCGCGACAGTGGTCGCTAGCCCAAGTTCCTGTTTTCGACGTTTCTTCTCTTGATGAGCTCTGAGTGCAGCATCGAGGGAGCTGTCAAAAGCGAGCGAGCTCGAATGACCCATCTGGCTCTGGTGATTTGCTAGCTTCTTCTCGGCTTGCGCATCCTTCGCATCCACCCACCAAGAACATGGACCATCGGGTTGACACTGAAGCTTTGACAACATGAGAAGGGCGACAACGAAAAAGCAGCTCGCGATATGCATGCCCGCAGGTGCAGGCTTGTCGATGGTGGTCGGGTCTGAGATAGATCGAAACAGGGGGAAAGGGGCAGTGAATGAATTTGTCGTCAAATCTACACCAAGGCATATTCTAACATTGGTCCATCGAAGTCTTCATTGTCTTCAGATGTCTCATCCGTCAGATATGTAGAATCGGCAGGCGGGAGCTCCGACGGAGAAAGGTGAAACTATGTGGAGTTAATATCGATGAGTGGAGAACAAAACACTTACCCTTTGCGCCCAAATGACAAGATTACGAGCCTAATTCACATCAGCTCATCGAAGACGAAAGGAAAACACAATGACGCACAATCGCAGCATTGGGTAAACACGTCGATAGCAGCCAACAGCGACCAATGGCAAAGTTCCTTGAGACAACCCGGATATGCGTCACCAATGACTTCGAACACCACCAAGGCTTCGGAGAGTTCTCTCGTGGGTCCCATCGTCGAAATATGGCGCGGACTGACCGAGCCCGAAATAACGGGCGCTTGAATGCCTCCCAGAGAGAATTGAATCATTTGGAAGTAGACATCCATGCTCTACCAGAAGTTATAGCAAACAACAAGACGGCAGCAGTACTACTCACTGGATTGTACTCCCAGGATATTTCCTGTAGCGCTTGTGTGGTAGAAAGTTCGCGCGAAAAGTCGTAGAGTTTGACCAGCGTATTTGTTGGCTCGGGAGGTAGATACTTGTGGGCTGGCCCGGGGTTGTAGCCCAGTTCTTCGCCTGCTGTTGACAGCGGTGAGCTGCCGCTACCCAGCAGAGTTCTGCCTGAATAGACAGTAGAGAGGCGGGGTTGGATATCATGATGGTTTGGCTGTGTTGTCGTATCAGTAGACGAAGAAAATCAGCAGACGAGACAAAACTGACCGTTGAGGGTTGTACCACCGTGTGGCCGGCCCCGACATCGGTAGCGAAAGATCTAGATTGAGTAGGGGACTCAGTATCCGACTCGTATACTTCGCTCCAGTTGTCGGGCCATGGCCCATCGTAGCCGCCAAAAATGGGTCGCGAGTTGCCGACAAAGGTCGGGGACATCTGCTTCAGGGACGGGACTTCTTGCGAGCGCTCGTAGGATTCTTGCCTCGATATCTGGCGAGAGCTCTGGCGAGGCCATAGCTGGCAAAACCTCGGCCAAGCCCGACGGAGGCAAATTTTGCATCAGCACCACATGGGTGGTGCACAATGCCCAGCCAAGAGTGGATCGCTGAGTACCGTTGGCCGTAGAGTTGTGTCGCCCATCGTGCGAGAGATGAAGTCGAGGGGTTGTCTTGTTTGTTGTGGAGTTGAGGACTGGGACTTGTGGCAGAGGGAGGAGGAGCGGCGGAAGAGCGCGCGCCTTATCGATGGCGCGTTATCGATAAGGCGCGCACAGGTGACTAGAGCAAATGTTTCAGCAGGGAAAATTGTATAAGACGGTGGACGCACCGGTAGAATGGCCATCGTTCCTTTTGCTCCTTCGCCCATGCCCCCACTGAGTGACCAAACTAACACCATATCCTCCCAGGGCGCCATCCGGCATGTATTGGAGCAGCTGACACGCTCCAAAGTCGGTGTCAGGACGCGTCGCAGGTGGGTGGTATTTCGCATCGTCGTTGTTACTGACTGAAAGTTGGCAGCGTGCCAGATTCAGATGACCCAGATGATCCGGCACCCAGTGCCGGCACAGCTTCCACGGACCCTGCTTCCGACGGCCATGGCAGCCTGAAGTGGTTTGGGCGCAACGCCGGCCGCAACTTTGGGCCCACTCTCAAACTTCTTCCCTGCTTCAGCCGCCAGCTGGTTCGCCTTGCACGCGACGAAGACGACCACGCGCCAGTTGAAGACCCCAAGATGTGAGTGGCTAGCTTTTGTGATCAAGCTGACTCTGTACAGCGTCGCGCTCGACAAGCGGGTGTGGGATTACTTCAAAGCACGTATTGCTCACTTTGAGGACGACCAAATCGCCATCGGCGGTGACAGCAACCTCCGCAAGGCATATTGCGCCGAGGTGCGTGGTCATCTCAGTGTAGTTCACAGCTGACAACTCTCCAGTTGCATGCGGGCATGCGGGGTTCACGAGCGGACGATGCTCGTGTCCTCCGTGTCAATATCATTGAGCTACTCAAGATTTTGTACAAAGACAAGGCCGACCGCGAGTCTCTGGCTACGCTAACTCCCAGCATCAAAGTCGACTGCGGCTTTGTCAACGATGTAACAGGACGTCTGTTGTGTCCCGCTAAACTCAGCCCAGACTCTCAGTATGCCCCGGCTAACATCCTGGTTGAGCTAATATTGTCATCAGCACCCTCAACAACATCCGCGAAAGGCAACACAGACGTTGAAGCCACAGACTTCCCATGGCTCGTTTACCCATTCGAGCACGTTTACGATGCGGGTGACATCGAGGCCGGATTCATGGAGAATCCTTTGCTCTATATGGTATAATTCTCTTCTCATATTTCCAACACCGACAACTTCAAAGGCTGCGCGCGTCATCTACCTAGGATTACAAGCTGCCACAGGCGAGCGACAAGAATCCCGCAGGGCTGGGAATGCTGCGCTCAACGGAATCACCGCGCTCAACGGCCGCGAGATAGCTTATGTTGCTCTGCAGGTAAGACTCATTCTAGTCATTCATGTCGCAGTTGCTCAGTTTTTTAGGTTCGCTTTGCCCTGTCTTCTGCGGAGAAATGGAGTGCCATGGATGGCCTCTTCGACTACAGAGTGTTTTACACAAACCTCTGCAACATCCTCGACGATCCTGCCAGCCAAGATATCACCGACAAGTTTAATAGGTGTGTTTATTGTCTATCTATCTATTAGTCTTAACTTTCTCTTGTGTAGTGCCCTGTTTGGCGAACGGCACGTCAGCCGAGTGCGCCGCCGTGACGAGAACATTGGACCCAGCGACTACGAGCTGCTGCAGCAGCAGCGTGCGGCCAAACGTGCCCGGTTGGCAGCCGAATCGATGGGTGGGGGTGCCGCAGGGCCGGGGCCGGGGCCGGGGCCGGGAGCAGAAGGAGCAGGGGTGGGGGCAAGTGCAGGAGCAGGGGCGACAGCGTAAAATAACCTGCGGGATCGTGTTCGAGTGTATGCATGTGTGTGTTACTACAATCAATTTTCTATGTACAAACCCCAAGCTACTAGTGAAAGCAAGCAAAGCAATGACTGATATTATCTGTCCCAGCTCCATATACAAACTACAATATTGCTTGTCCTGTCTACAAGTAGTGTAAGAGTGGAGGTATATTATATGTGCTTTTGAATAGTTGTCAGGGGAACCTCCCTTTCGGCCCCTCGGAGACGTCTCCGATTCCGGTCCGACTCCGGTTCCGTCTCCGGTCCGGCCCTCCATCTCGCCCGCACAATCACCGATCTGTCAACGCCCTCCCGACGGTCGCCCTGGGACCTCGCCTGCGACGCCGCCCAAGCCTTCTGTGCCCGACAGCGGCAGCTACGGACAAGCAGTATATAGTCAGCTACCTAGCAGGCGGACCCTTAGAGTTTCTTCTCTTTGGATCCTCCCCTGCTAGGTCAGCTTCATTTGTATTCGCTTACCAATGTTCACGCTTTGGATCCTCCCCTGCTAGAACCTTGATCTCAGGCCTCCGGGGTTGCCCTTACAATAGTTATAAACCTGAATATAGATGTTAGTTTACACAAGTATTGTAGATCTCATAAGCATTGCAGTACACTTATAGACCTTGAGGTGGGTTACAAGCACATTTTATTATCTATAATCCAGTTGCCAGTTTACCTGCATTATGGGCAGTTGTATTCACATGTTACAGTTTATATGCAGTGGTAATTACTTCCCGTTTTTCCTGATGATGCTGGAAAGGAAGATGAGATGAGTTTGGCAAATGGAGCGAAGGTAGAACACGCACTAGAGCGATATTTCCTTGCCATTCAGGACTTTATCCAACCCCTTGTCCACCTTCTCTACTGCCTCGTTCAGCAGGCGCCCCGAAAGCACTTTCGCCGATGGTATGATATCGGCCGCATGCATACGGAACATCTGCAGCAGCCGCACGACCTCGGGATCTGACCAGAACTCGAAGGCGCAGCCAGTGGAGATGGTAGCGCGCTCGAATTGGGCGTAGAAGGCAGGGTAGGAAGAGGCGGGGAATGGCATTTCGTGTGGGCCAAACACGAACTGTGTTATCTTGCCCTCGACCTCGCCTCCGTTGTTTGGCCGTTTCGACGCCGATGCCCCGTCCATATTCCCCTCGTCTGCCGCTCGCTTCCCGCCGCTCTTTCCCTTTCCCTTCTTCTCGTCCTTGGCATCCCGCTCCGCCTTCCGAATCTTTTGTGCCTCCTTTCGTGCAGCGTCAGACGCGAGAGCGCATGGATTGCGGGAGTTGTCGATGGCACCAATAATGTGGGTGACCATTGGACCCTCGACGCCTCGTATGGGCTTGACGGCAGCTCGGGCTATGTCAATGTGAGTGCCATGGAATGAAAGATAGACTGGTGACGCACCATTGGCTGCCCAGTCCGTCCGAGCACGTAACTCCGCCGCCTCGTCGAGCCCTGTTGTGTCAAGCGGATTGGCGGCATACCAGGCGTTGAGCTCCGCCTGGCACCATGCGTTCTTGTGCGCGCTGTTGAACATGGTCTCTTGGCCTCGTCCGGGCAGTTTGTGGAAGTATTTCCACATCTTGCTCTCCGGAGCCATTGTCGGAGGTGGTGGGAAGAGGAAAATTTATACGCGACGTGACAGGATCTGTCAATGTCAGAAGCGGCGGCCGGGCACATCACGTGACCACTAAGCCCTTAATAACCCCCCGCCTGGCACGACCTTGACGACTAAGCCTTATCATAACCCCCATCTAAGGTATTAACCCCTTAGGTGCTTAGGGCGAACACTGGTACGATCGGACCGGCAGCTCGGCGCGGTCTCCTCGTGGAACTTGCACGAGCTTGTGGGCAAACACGAACACCTCATCGCGCTGGCGGACCTCCTGTGCATGCTCGAGGCCTACTGGCTCCTCCCCGCCCTCTTCTACATGCTCACCGTCATGTCGGGCTCCCACGACTTCACCGCAAAGCTGGTCGACGGCACTACCTACAACGGCCGCGCGGTGGCGCTGGCGCCCCGCTACTTCGCCAACATCTTTGACGGCGCGCTGAAGCAGCAGGAAGCATCGGCCGAGATCGCCCGTGTGCTCGCGCCGCCGCCGCCCCACATCCGGTGCACCGCCCGGCCCCGTGCCGCGACCGGATCACCCGGGCCGCCTCCTCCCCCGCGATCGCCGCACACATCGCCGCGCACGTGCGCAACCCGCTCCGTCTGTTCGACGCGCGCTTCTACGACTGGGAGGCGAGCGCCGGCCTGAAGGTATGCAACGCGTGCATGTCCCATTTGAGCAATGAGCGCGGAGCTGCACACTGCGCAGCAGCAGTTCTGGGACGCGCTCCCGGGCATCTATGGCCTCCCCCCGTGGCCGGAGCTGGAGAAGCTCAAGACTGAGTGTGACCTGCTTTTGTAGCCGCCATTGCCGGTGCCACCGGCACACCTTAGCCATGTATTTTTCTATCTGTCCTATGATGTTTGCTTGTTTGTTTGTCGCACCACACTGTAATGATGCTATTGGCAGTGTCTAAGGATAAATTTAGCTTCCGACTGAGTAATGGGCAAAACTGCTTTAGTGGCCGCACTGCAGGCTGCCCGTTGCCACCTCAGGCTCCGGCGACTGGTTGGCGCGGTGTCTCTCCGACTCTCGGGCGTCGGCGCCATATGGACATTGGAGAGAGGGGGGAGGGGCGGGTGGCTCGCCAGTTGAGTGCGAGTCCCTGCGAGAGGAAGAATGGAAGAGCAAAGAAGCGGCGGTGCCGCCGGTGCATGACATTGATCGAAATGATAGATGGCGCTTCTTACCGTCGGTGACATCGCCGCAAGCTGGTCGGGCCCGGGCCGTGGCTGTTGTAAGGCAGTAAGTAAGTACTTGCTTTCCGGTACTGGGAGCCAAGGGACCAAGACGGGAGACAGTGCCAGATGCAGTGCGGGTAGCCACGGCCCAAGGGCAGCAAGCTCGGCAGTCTGACGTTCCATGCGGAACAGGAGAGGGTATTCGGTTGGAGATGCCGAAGTTCGAACACGCCATGTTCATTTCGCGCCGTCGCCGAGTCAGTGTTGCATGTTAGCTTGAGTTTGGGTGGAATACAATTTGAACATCGTTGTGGTTACAGAAGCAAATCATCCCCGATGGCCGCCTGCTTCAGGTTCTCCAACTCCGCCCACGTCGGGAGGCCATACAGCTCGGGCAGCGAATCCCAGAACGCCCCGCGGGCCGCCTTGAGCTCCCCGTGCAGATGCGCCTTGCACGTCTGACAAACCGCCTGCCAGTCGGCGCCCTGCCAGTCATCGCCCAAGCGCTCATCGAACAAGGAGAGCGGCACTTGCGAGTGGCGGTGCACGTGGTCGCGGAACGGCGCGGACGTCGCCGTGCGCATGATCCGCAGCGGGCACATGCCAGTGTCCTTGTGGCACACGCTCGGCGGCGCGGGCGTCATGAACTCGGCCAGGGTCCACGCGGCCTGCTGCTGCCTGCTGGCCCCGCGAAGGACGCGCTCTTGGTCCCCGGGATCGAGCCGGGCCGGGGCGCCGTGGATGACCGTCCCGTTGACGAGCTGCCCCGCGATGCTGTCCAGTTTGCTCGCGATCAGATAGAACAGCGACGGCAGCAGCCACGGCGCGTCGATTTCTCGCGCGAGCTGCACCAGAGCGATCAGGTGGTCTTCCCACGCGCAGTCCCACGACGCGACGGCGCTCGGCCCGCGGTCCGACTTGTCCGTCTCGTAACAGGTCGCGTCGCTCTCCGCGAGTGTCGTGCGCAGCGCGGAGGTCAGGTGCGTAAGTGCAAGGCGGCGGATGATGGGCGCATTGTACTTGTGCCCCAGCCGCGCACACCCGACGACCATGTCGGCGGTCGTCGGCGCCGGGAACGGCCGGAAGGAGCTGCCAAAGTCAGCATCGTTTGCTGGATGAGTGGAGATGACGCACAAAGGCACAAAGATGGCCTTCAAAAACGGCGTAAGCTCCGCCTCCGCATCCTGCAGCTGCACCAGCGGACACCCGTCAACCTTGTCGCCCGACGTGCCCGGGGCGGGCTGCGGAAACGCGAGCATGTCGCCAAAGACAGACGCCTGCCGCGCGAGAATGCCGCGGTACACCCTATACTGCGCGCGCCCCGCCTGCAGCACGATGTTCCCGTCGTCAAACCACAGCTCCGCGACGCGGTGGAGCTCTAGCGGCGCGTCCATGGTGGGAGTAGAAAGGCAAGATGCGCGTGGCACGTGTCAGCGTGACACGCGTGTTTGACAGCGGCGATGTACGTACGTACGCGTGGCGCGGCGCGGGCGCGGGCGCGGATCAGGGTGGCTTGGTCCGCGGCGTGCAGCTGCACGGCCCGCGACCTCCCGGGCCGGCACGGTCGGCGCGCGAGCACTTCCTGCTGCAAGGTGAACCCCTTGGCGAATGCCATACCCCCGTGACTCGGACTCAAAAACAAAAAACAAAAAAAAAAAACCGTAGCACTGTGCCACCTATAGCTCACCAAGGACATTGACCTTGAAGGGGGGGGTTAATATCAAACCCTGGGTTCGTAAAGGCATGGCCAAAGTATGATGTCATTGCCTCTCTTATTAGGGATGGTAAACACATGGTAGTAGTGTATATAAGTAGAGTAGATTTCGTCTTGTACCCCAGTCTTCAAATTCCATCATCTTTACAATACTGTAATAATTTATTCAATTCGGCGGCGAAAAACTGCGTGACATCGGCGCCGAAATGAAAATTTTGGCGCTGCCTGGTAATCTGTGTGACCGCCGAAAAAATTCGGCATATTCAGCAGCCCGGAGGGCCGCCGGAGAAATTTTGATGCTCTGATGGCCGTCTGACATTCGGCATCTGAATAATAAGTTGTGACACGCCGAAATATTTCGGCGCCGGAGGTCCCGGTGTGACGGTGACCGCCGAATTGAATAAATTGATACAGTATCTTTTTACAGTGCTTCTTGCTAGCCTTCACTGGCCAACTGGCATCCTCTGATTTGGTATTGTTTGTGACAGTATATCTAAATCAGACCAAGTTTAGTCATATTAGCCGGCACACAGATTGGAAAAATTGGCTATGACAATCCACCATACTATATTTGAATATTCCGTGGCTATAATATAGTATAGTCATAATATAATGTAGGATATTCAAGCATAAGCATATTCAAGTGATCAACCAAAGGCATAATCTATTCATAACAATATTTAATTGACCATAATATAATTCTGGCCAGCACTCCCCCAGCGTACAAGCGGACAGGGATTGCAAAGGGATTGCCCAAGGAGGCGGAGGGCCCTCTGGTGATTGCCCGTAGCTAGAGATACTGAAGGCCGGGCCAAAGCTGGCCAAGCCAAGGCCAATGAAACAGGACCGTATATGCACTGGGTGTGCATGCAGATCTGGTTCGAGCCAGACTTGGTCACTTGCGAGAGTAAGTACTCAGCACAGTGCACCTATAGCTCACCCATATCCCCTCTAATTAGAGGCGGAGACTAGGGTACTCTCCGCCTCTAATTAGAGGGGTTGAGCTGCCGCGGGCACCCCGCTACCTCCGACAACCGCCGCCCTTCTTCATCGTGCCAGAGGCACCGGCCACCCCGCGCCGCTGCCACCGGCGCCCTCACCATCCCGCCGCCGTCGTCATCGTCGTCGCCGTTGTGACCTGGTCACAACGGTGACCATCGCGTGATTCTCATCACAGACGATCGCCGCCCGCTGTCATCGGGTCGGGGACGTCTGCCCGCTGGTCCCGCTAGCTCTCCGCGGCTGTCATTGATCTCCCGACATCGTCCTCGACGACGACAACCATGGTAAGCTCAAATCTCCATCAAATTACATGAATTTGTGAGTTAACAATATTTTATTTATAACTCTCTAACAGTTTAATATTTTTACATGCCACTTGTACCTCGAGTAATTTCCATTGATTGCGCAACTTTTCTGTTTTTTGATCGGAAAGTGTCGGGGGGTGGGTCAGGGGCGGCGGGATCGCGTCGGGCAGGCGGCGGGAAGGGCGCGCATGGCAGGTAATGGTGATTACCTCACCATTGTATAGGTATCATCAAGTACTATAGATTATCGGTTTGTTTCATGTAATTTGATGGAGATTTGAGCTTACCATGGTTGTCGTCGTCGAGGACGATGTCGGGAGATCAATGACAGCCGCGGAGAGCTAGCAGGACCAGCGGGCAGACGTCCCCGACCCGATGACAGCGGGCGGCGATCGTCTGTGATGAGAATCACGCGATGGTCACCGTTGTGACCAGGTCACAACGGCGACGACGATGACGACGGCGGCGGGATGGTGAGGGCGCCGGGGTGGCAGCGGCGCCGGGGTGGCCGGTGCCTCTGGCACGATGAAGAAGGGCGGCGGTTGTCGGAGGTAGCGGGGGTGCCCGCGGCAAGCTCAACCCCCTCTAATTAGAGGCGGAGAGTACCCTAGTCTCCGCCTCTAATTAGAGGGGATATGGGTGAGCTATAGGTGCACTGTGCTGAGTACTTACTCTCGCAAGTGACCAAGTCTGGCTCGAACCAGATCTGCATGCACACCCAGTGCATATACGGTCCTGTTTCATTGGCCTTGGCTTGGCCAGCTTTGGCCCGGCCTTCAGTATCTCTAGCTACGGGCAATCACCAGAGGGCCCTCCGCCTCCTTGGGCAATCCCTTTGCAATCCCTGTCCGCTTGTGGACGCTGGGGGAGTGCTGGCCAGAATTATATTATGGTCAATTAAATATTGTTATGAATAGATTATGCCTTTGGTTGATCACTTGAATATGCTTATGCTTGAATATCCTACATTATATTATGGGTATACTATATTATAGCCACGGAATATTCAAATATAGTATGGTGGATTGTCATAGCCAATTTTTCCAATCTGTGTGCCGGCTAATATGACTAAACTTGGTCTGATTTAGATATACTGTCACAAACAATACCAAATCAGAGGATGCCAGTTGGCCAGTGAAGGCTAGCAAGAAGCACTGTAAAAAGATACTGTATCAATTTATTCAATTCGGCGGTCACGCGTCACACCGGACCTCCGGCGCCGAAATATTTCGGCGTGTCACAACTTATTATTCAGATGCCGAATGTCAGACGGCCATCAGAGCATCAAAATTTCTCCGGCGGCCCTCCGGGCTGCTGAATATGCCGAATTTTTTCAGCGGTCACACAGATTACCAGGCAGCGCCAAAATTTTCATTTCGGCGCCGATGTCACGCAGTTTTTCGCCGCCGAATTGAATAAATTATTACAGTATTGTAAAGATGATGGAATTTGAAGACTGGGGTACAAGACGAAATCTACTCTACTTATATACACTACTACCATGTGTTTACCATCCCTAATAAGAGAGGCAATGACATCATACTTTGGCCATGCCTTTACGAACCCAGGGTTTGATATTAACCCCCCCCTTCAAGGTCAATGTCCTTGTCGACAAAAGGCATTAGAGCGCCGTCCATCATCCACCCCCCCCTTCAGCCTCCACAAAATGGCCAGTCTGATAATTAAAAAGTTTCTGGGACGAATGATATGGGAGCTTCTCTTGTGTCAGCTTATAACGTTTGACCAGGTAATCCCAATGACCCTAGGCAAGGACAGGCACACTATGGGTCTTGACCACTGGGTTCTTCTGGTTGAACTCGTCTAACAATTCTTGAGAGTTCTCAAGCCTTTGCGCAGTCTCCCATGTATCCTTGCTATGCGGATATCCCTTCCACTTCACCAGATACTGCCAACCACAACCACGCTTCTGCTTCTTTATAATCTCCTCAACCTCCCACTCTTTATGATCATCCACAATGTCTGGTGGTGACCTTTCTTCTCGCCGGTGGGGTGGTGGCTCATGGTACGGTGTTAGTTCTCACTGGGGGCAAAGGTGGCAGCTGACAGGCTGTGGCATGTCCTAAAAAAAAACATGCGGCGGCCTGACGGCAGTTCAATGGCAGCGCAACCCTTAAAACCCAAGTCATTGTCAAAGAATAACTTACATTCATCAGCGCGGTAATAAAACAATATGCTGACCTTCAGCGCCCACCTTCCCACAACCACAACGCTCATCCACCAGTCCAGCCAGCCTCCTCCTTGAGAGCCCCCTGTCTTGTTGTCTGGCCGTTGGGTCAGCTGCTCTCCGAGTCACGCGGCTGCGCTGACCGGGCATGCAGTCCGCATCCCTGCAACTATACGACCCGGCGCTCAGAGCCGGGACTCAGGACGGTGGCACCATCGTTGTCTGCATTTGGCGCCTGCTCGAAAATCTTTACAGAGGAGTCAGTTCTCAGCACCCTGTGCACTCTCCGAGTCCTGCAAGCCATGCGCCGGTGCCTTACCCGCAATGGCCCGGCCTGCTTCAGTGGGTGCGGGTACCCGCGTTTTGGCCAACAGGCTGCAGGTGGCCCGTATTTCACAGGCCTGTGGATGGCAAAAGCCACACTGGGGCCTCAGATGTTGGCAACGGCTGTTGCTGGGCGTCCAAACCCGCAAGTGAGCCGCAACTGCACTCACTGACATCTTCTTGATAGCTCGGACATCAAGTCTCTGACCATTTTGAAGTGCCGGAGACCGCCGCTGAGGCCAGGTATCTGGTTAGCCGGGCCCGGACAAGTGCCAGCGGGTTTTCGTGCTTGACCAGCATTGAGGAGGGACACAGGCTCTAAGGGAATGTTGTGCCCTGGCAGTTTATGATGCTGCATTGGATAAAGAGGACAAAGGGAGCTTGACACGTCTCAGAGGCATGTGTACTGTAACGATATACCCTTTTTTGTGCCCCTTGCAGTTGCCTTGCAGTTGCCTTGTGGACCATCAAACCGCCATCGAACCGCCGTTGAACCGCCATGCATTCGGACACATGTTCTTTCATGAGACGCTAGAGCCAGCCAGCCGCGGGTTTTGCCCCCAGTGTCTGTCTCATTATAGACTGAATGAGCCTGACTAGAACCTGGCATCTTGACTTCATATGCCAAAGGTCCAACCTTTACCTCCACTTCAAATGGTCTCACATGTTGATCATTGAGCTTCTCGGATGGTCGATTCTGCTGCACTTTTAACCCTTCTGTAAGGGCAACCCCGGAGGCCTGAGATCAAGGTCCTAGCTGTCAGGGGAAACCCTGATGCCGTCACTTGATCCCATCAAGCGCCGCGTCTCCGCTCGCATCTCCGCGTCTCCGCTCGTGTCTCCGCGTCTCCGCACCCTGACGCTCTCCCTCCACTGCCCGCA